TTTAGGCCACATATGGCCTAAATAAGCTAAACCCCCCTCCCTTACCTTATTTAGGCCACAGGTGGCCCCCCCTCCCTTACCTTATTTAGGCCTCACCTGTGGCCTAAATAAGCTAAACCCCCCTCCCTTACCTTATTTAGGCCACACCTTTATACAAAGTCACAGAAATATTCCTTTTGTGCTTATTGAGGTACAGTGCTGGGTGATTTTACCTGCAAGGATAATTGGACAAAATGGGCAACATCTTTATTGCTAATGGTCATATTTAGACAAATCCTATATCATTGTCTTTTTTTTTCTTAACTGCTCATGGTTATTAAAGAGTAAGCCAACTAGGTAGTGATTTGGGATTCCTAATAATAATATTATGGGCATTCTTAACCCTCTTACTAGATCTATTAGTGTTGTGAAAACTTCAACCTCTACAGCTCAGGCGTCAAAAGATGCTGGAAAATAATAATACGTCCTGAAGTTTCATAATTTATTTTTATACAGAATAACACAGTACACAGCCAGTAGTTTTTATTTCATCGAGTTATAAAAATGGCCTTCGTATAAAAATTGCCTTGTTTTCAGAAGCAAATTTTAATAGTTCTAGTTCTACCGAATCGATTTTCACGCGAATTCAACCATTTTCATGATCTTTCTTTTCCTTTTAAAAAGATGTAGATCTAGGCCTGTCGGATGTGGCAGTGCGAATAACGCTGAGTTGTTTAGATCTAGACCCATCAAAACACGAGGCTTCGTGGCCGATCACAAAAGTCTACGGGGCTTATCGAGGCCGATTCGCCCTGAGCACGTTCACTAAACTGCCTACTAGATAGAATCTACTACCAAATATTCTCTACACGATCTTTGCTACTACTACTACTAGGCCTACTAGCCTACATGTACTACTACGAGACAGTACGAGAGATTGTCACTCAGGCAAAGATAGTGTAACTCAGCCACGTAGTGTACACTCTTTTTATACCCCAAATTTAACCCGGAAGTCCATTCGGAGGATTTGACCTTTTCACTTGACCAAAGTGTGCCAAAATGGTAGCCTAGCTTTTACCCATCCATGAAGGAAAAATCTGGCCCTCATTCAAACCATTGGGATTGAGCAAAATTTTGCGTGTTGTGCTTTGTTCTTTACAATATTCATTATGGTTATGATTTATAAGTTGTACACTGAGACAAAACCGTACTAAATGAGAAAGGTGCACCATTATGAAAGTGGAACGAACTCAGTTGCCTGAAAAGGTTAGTTTGAGCATGTGTGGCCTAAATAAGCTAAACCCCCCTCCCTTACCTTATTTAGGCCACAGTCCACTGTGGCCTAAATAAGCTAAACCCCCCTCCCTTACCTTATTTAGGCCATATGTGGCCTAAATAAGCACTCCCAAATAGAAATAACAAACAAAATACAAACCAACAACAAAAACAACAATCGATTGGGACTTCAGAAGGGAATGGTTTGTTTTCTTCATCTTGATCAGTCCTGCCTAAGACGGCCACCTGTCTTATACGGCCACTTTTCTCCTGACAATGGGTGGCCGTCTTACACAGGTTTGACTGTATATAAGGCCCTCCTCTTGGGGCCAAAACCGGAGAATGCCATTTTACCAACGGTAAGTTTATATTTTCACTCTTGCACACAGATGCACTGCTTTAGTGGTCAAACTGCAGTATTTTTTGCTGTGTTGTTTTTCTTTTCCCTTTTCTTTTTTTCCTTGTGCGCTATTCAAGCCAATAATTTTAATATTTTTATTTGTTGTTTTCAATATATGGTAATACAGTGCTGTTTACTTTGCAGCAATTAAAACAAAAGTCTTTCGTTACAATAAATATTGTACGATATTTTTTTTAAAGATTAAAAGACTGAACACTGACACTCTCTTATCTTCTCAAGACAACTGCATGGGCCAAAAATGCCCTAGGCTAAGTAGCCTATAGAAGCTTATTTCGCACCCTCTCGGAAAGAGCCACCTTCCTTCAAGAGTCTTGGAGTGGGGGTTGGGGTCAGTGTGCATGACATTACCGCCATTGCTTGAACACTGGAACACTGTATGTCTCACTTTCTGACAGAATACCACCAAACCCTGTGATTAGGACCCACCATATGTCACAATATGTGTGTTTGTAAGGGATTTGGGAGGTGTTTTATTAATCATCTTTGACCTGTGCAAAACAGGGCTGTTCAAATATGATCTTACACCTTTTTTGGGACTTTTTTGCCCCCCACCCCCCATTTCTTACATTTTCATTTTTTAATGATAAAAATAATATGACATTTATATCGCGCAAATCCGTAAAACAATCATTGCTCTATGCGCATTGCATAATATGCATGAAAAACATGCATACACACGTATGCATGCACATACATGTAATAATATATGCACAAAAAAATAATAGGTGTCACGACATGGTGGGATCAAGCGCTCGTCAGTTTTGATATCATGTTAAAGTCTGTCAATTTGCCTTCCTTTTAATGAAAACAATATTCATCTATGCTGAATAGAAGCTGAAATATTTGTGATTGAAGGAGGTGGGGTCACCTGATTTCAGAGGTAAATTTAGTGAGAAAACAGCCGCCAAAGTTTGGTAACTTTAATAGCTTGAGAGCCTTTAAAACTGAGAAATCACAAATTTTGTGCATGTAATGAACGTTTTTCAGCATGGATGTAAAAGGTGTTTAGCGCGGAAAAAAAATTTAATAAAAGTTCCCAAACCTGCAGAAAAAATGCGTTTTTTTTTTTTCACTTTCATTATTTTGACGAGCGCCTGATTTCACCACGCTGCCTCACAATTAGAGTAAATCATTCAAGGAAAATATTACATACACACTCTTTCTTACTAATAAAAAGGAAAAAATTGAGACTCATGTCAATGACAAAAGCGCTTTAATTTTTAAAAAAAAGTTACAGTGGAATTCTGATAGTCAACACCCTGGACAGAAAAAAAGTGTTGACTTTGAGCAGGGTTGTGTTTATCCATTGTACTACTGGCCATTGAAAATTGAAGATAACAGCTACAAAATTACAAAGTACCTGGTAATAAACAAGATGTAATCTCAATTTCAGGGAGTATAATTCTGAAGTTGTCACCAAAACAAGGAAAGAATAAAGTACATATATATGTAATTGGAAGTGTGTACACCACTTGCTCAGGCGAAATGTCTCTTCTTGAATTAATTCATCTAGGATTTAGCCCCAAATTGTTGACTTTATGAAAGGTTAACACTCAAGCGGTTGACTGTATCAGAAACACAATTACTTAAACAAAGAAAGTAAGAAACGGGACTACAGAGAGGTGTTGACTGTAAAGAGTTGACTTTAAGCAAGTTGACTTTATCAGGATTTTACTGTATCTCTGTTATTGCTGATCATTTATGCTGAAATAAAAGTGAAATTAGAGTTATCATCAACAAATGCAGAGTTCATCATAATGTCAAAAATATTTTTTCACCTCACAAAAATGTAATATATTACATTAGTTCAAGATAACCCTCCCCCC